CGAGAGCAAGAGGGCGGAACTGTAGGGGAGGGCAAAGGGAAGGGGGGGGGGGAATATAGGGGAAGTGTTCGGAGTCGCCTCACGATCTAAGTGGGTGCGTTGATTCCCACCGGCGCTGGGATTCCCGCCGGCGCTGGGATTCCCGCCGGCGCTGGGATTCCCGCCGGCGCTGGGATTCCCGCCGGCGCTGGGATTCCCGCCGGCGCTGGGATTCCCGCCGGCGCTGGGATTCCCGCCGGCGCTGGGATTCCCGCCGGCGCTGGGATTCCCGCCGGCGCTGGGATTCCCGCCGGCGCTGGGATTCCCGCCGGCGCTGGGATTCCCGCCGGCGCTGGGATTCCCGCCGGCGCTGGGATTCCCACCGGCGCTGGGATTCCCACCGGCGCTGGGATTCCCACCGGCGCTGGGATTCCCACCGGCGCTGGGATTCCCACCGGCGCTGGGATTCCCACCGGCGCTGGGATTCCCACCGACGCTGGGATTCCCACCAGCGATGTTTTGGGAAGCTTGAATGGCCACCAGCGATGTTTTGGGAAGCGTGAATGGCCACCAGCGATGTTTTATGAAGCTTGAATGGCCACCAGCGATGTTTTATGAAGCTTGAATGGCCACCAGCGATGTTTTATGAAGCTTGAATGGCCACCAGCGATGTTTTATGAAGCTTGAATGGCCACCAGCGTTGTTTTATGAAGCTTGAATGGCCACCAGCGATGTTTTGGGAAGCTTGAATGGCCACCAACAATGTTTTATGAAGCTTGAATGGCCACCAGCGATGTTTTGGGAAGCTTGAATGGCCACCAACAATGTTTTATGAAGCCTGAATGGCCACCAGCGATGTTTGTGTGCTGCGTGACAGAGGAGGAGGGACTTTTAGGTGAGCGTGTAGACAGGGCCACACCCCACCCGCATGGGCGTGCACGACTGTGGGTAAGAGGGACAGTCTTCGTGCACTTGTTGAGAATAAGACGATTGGGGCGGGTCTTCGGGGGGGAAGAGAGAGAGAGAGGAGACTGAAGACTAGGTATATAGTCTTTGATGATTGTTCTGTGTGTTTGATGTACCTTTTTCTTGAGACATTTTCTTTGTTCCTTCCATTCCTATGTTTACAGTTTCTGTCTCTGTGTGTCTGTGTCTCTCTGTCTCTGTGTCTCTCTGTCTCTGTGTCTCTCTGTGTCTCTGTCTCTCTGTCTCTCTGTCTCTCTGTCTCTGTGTCTCTGTGTCTCTGTGTCTCTGTGTGTCTCTGTGTCTCTGTGTCTCTGTGTCTCTGTGTCTCTCTGTCTCTGTGTCTCTGTGTGTCTCTCTGTCTCTGTGTCTCTCTGTCTCTCTGTCTCTGTGTCTCTGTGTCTCTGTGTCTCTGTGTGTCTCTGTGTCTCTGTGTCTCTGTGTCTCTGTGTGTCTCTCTGTCTCTGTGTCTCTGTGTCTCTGTGTGTCTCTGTGTCTCTGTGTCTCTGTGTCTCTCTGTCTCTGTGTCTATGTGTCTATGTGTCTCTGTGTCTCTCTCTGTCTCTGTGTCTCTGTGTCTCTCTGTCTCTCTGTCTCTCTCTGTGTCTCTGTGTCTCTCTGTCTCTGTGTCTCTCTGTCTCTGTGTCTCTCTGTCTCTGTGTCTCTCTGTCTCTGTGTCTCTCTGTCTCTCTGTGTCTCTGTGTCTCTTTCTGTGTCTCTGTGTCTCTGTGTGTCTCTGTGTCTCTGTGTCTCTGTGTGTCTCTGTGTCTCTGTGTCTCTGTGTCTCTCCTTTTTTATGCTTTTGTTTTATCTTGTGAATATCAGTGTAGGTGTAATAATGTTGGGTTTAGTATAGGGAAGTGTTGGGTGGGCGGCCAGAGTGGTGTGTACTCCAGGGGTGGCCCACCCGCGTCAGCCCACGGTGGGTAGCGTGACCCACGGTGGGTAACTGTGAGTCGTACGGTGGTGGGTGAGTACGGTGAGCTGCGTGAGTCACCACCATTAAGTTGACGAGCTAATCTCGTTACGGTGTTAATGGTCAGAGAGGTGTAATGGGGCTTGTGGGGCCGAGGCGTTGGGTGGGGTGAGCTTCAATGGGGTGTGGGGGGGGGTGAGGAACAGGGGGGGGGGTAGGGTGAGTGAATAACGGTGGGTAAATCAAGCGAGACGTAGCTATTGACAATGTTGCTTTTACTAAACAGTTGATGTTTTGGACTATTTCGTCAGTTTCTATAAAGATCTTGTATGTAGCGATCATGTTTCCTCCCTGCCATCTTTTCCTAGTGCTTGCCTAGTTGTGTCTACAGTCGGCAAGATGTAGTCTGCTGACTCGTCATCTCACAGTAGCCCTCCTCTTCCTTCCTGGCCTCTCCGTCCTCCTCGTCCTCCCCCATCTTAGACAACCCCTGCCCGCCTCCCCCCCCCCCCTCACCCATTTTTCACTACCCCTGCCCTCCCCGACCCATTGATTACCTGACACCTGAACGAGGCTCCTGGTGTATGTGTGTACCTCCTCGCCTCTCACTTCCTGCTTCCTAATACTCCTTTCCTCCTGCCGCCCAAGGAAGGTGAGAGAGAGAGAGAGCGCGCGAGAGAGAGAGAGAGCGCGCGAGAGAGAGAGAGCGCGCAAGAGAGAGAGAGAGCGCGCGAGAGAGAGAGAGAGCGCGCGAGAGAGAGAGAGAGCGCGAGAGAGAGAGAGAGCGCGCGAGAGAGAGAGAGAGCGCGCGAGCGAGAGAGAGAGAGCGAGAGAGAGAGCGCGCGCGAGAGAGAGCGCGCGCGAGAGAGAGCGCGCGCGAGAGAGAGAGCGCGCGCGCGCGAGAGAGAGAGCGCGCGCGCGCGAGAGAGAGAGCGCGCGCGCGAGAGAGAGAGCGCGCGCGCGCGAGAGAGAGAGAGCGCGCGCGAGAGAGAGAGCGCGCGCGAGAGAGAGAGTGCGCGCGAGAGAGAGAGAGCGCGCGAGAGAGAGAGAGCGCGCGAGAGAGAGAGAGCGCGCGCGCGAGAGAGAGAGAGAGAGCGCGCGCGAGAGAGAGAGAGAGAGCGCGCGCGAGAGAGAGAGAGAGCGCGCGCGAGAGAGAGAGAGCGCGCGCGCGAGAGAGAGAGAGCGCGCGCGCGAGAGAGAGAGAGCGCGCGCGAGAGAGAGAGAGCGCGCGCGAGAGAGAGAGAGAGCGCGCGAGAGAGAGAGAGAGCGCGCGAGAGAGAGAGAGAGCGCGCGAGAGAGAGAGAGAGAGAGAGAGAGAGAGAGAGAGAGAGAGAGAGAGAGAGAGAGAGAGAGAGAGAGCGAGAGAGAGCGAGAGAGAGAGCGAGAGAGAGAGCGCGAGAGAGAGCGCGAGAGAGAGCGAGCGAGAGAGAGAGAGAGCGAGCGAGCGCGAGAGAGAGCGAGCGAGCGAGCGCGAGAGAGAACGAGCGAGCGAGCGCGAGAGAGAGCGAGCGAGCGCGCGAGAGAGCGAGCGAGCGCGAGAGAGAGCGAGCGAGCGCGAGAGAGAGCGAGCGAGCGCAAGAGAGAGAGCGAGAGAGAGCAAGCGAGCGAGCGCGAGAGAGAGCAAGCGAGCGAGCGCGAGAGAGAGAGCTAGCGAGCGCGAGAGAGAGAGCTAGCGAGCGCGAGAGAGAGAGCTAGCGAGCGCGAGAGAGAGAGCGAGCGAGCGCGAGAGAGAGAGCGAGCGAGCGAGAGAGAGAGCGAGCGAGCGAGAGAGAGAGCGAGCGAGCGCGAGAGAGAGAGCGAGCGAGCGCGAGAGAGAGAGCGAGCGAGCGCGAGAGCGAGAGAGCGAGCGCGAGAGAGAGAGCGAGCGAGCGCGAGAGAGAGAGCGAGCGAGCGCGAGAGAGAGAGCGAGCGAGCGAGCGCGAGAGAGAGAGCGAGCGAGCGAGCGCGAGAGAGAGAGCGAGCGAGCGAGCGCGAGAGAGAGAGCGAGCGAGCGAGCGCGAGAGAGAGAGAGAGCGAGCGAGCGCGAGAGAGAGAGCGAGCGAGCGCGAGAGAGAGAGCGAGCGAGCGCGAGAGAGAGAGCGAGCGAGCGCGAGAGAGAGAGCGAGCGAGCGCGAGAGAGAGAGCGAGCGAGCGCGAGAGAGAGAGCGAGCGAGCGCGAGAGAGAGAGCGAGCGAGCGCGAGAGAGAGAGCGAGCGAGCGCGAGAGAGAGAGCGAGCGAGCGCGAGAGAGAGAGCGAGAGAGAGAGAGAGAGAGAGAGAGAGAGAGAGAGAGAGAGAGAGCGAGCGAGCGAGGCGCGCGAGAGAGAGAGAGAGAGCGCGCGCGACTGACCAACCGAGACCGACCGACCGACCGAGACCGACCGACCCAGCAAGCAAGCAAGCAGCATTTGACAAACTCTATGGGGAAACACATCAAATATTTCACACTGGACGACAGGTGACAATTGAATGGAGCCTCCATAAATGCTAATAGTTGCTAAAGTATTTAACTAAGGCCAATCCCGACCAACCTATGTGTGTCCTATACCCCAGACCATTCCCTCTAAATCTGGGTGAAGCGGCTAGCCCCAAGCCGCTAGAATCCAACCTTAGACGAACGGACAGCTAGACAGTCTTATCTTATTGGTGCAGATATATATTATCATATTTTATATATTTTATTAACACATTTCGGTACATCTGCATTTGTGCAGTGAGAGTCAAGAACTAGCTACACGGTGCTTAAAATCCCCATCACACAGGATGGGGATAGTCAGACAGTCCCATGTGATCAGTAGTCTACCCTGTCTTTAATGGAAACAATGGGGGTCGACCCCTACCCCACCCATGTCGGTCACATACCCCACATTAATCAACCTGCAAAGTTAGGCTACGCTAACCCCACCAAGCATCCGGACACCCAGACATTCTCTCTTACAGTTGTAGAATTAATCCACTGTACTCGTGTTCATTGTGTTAAATATGAAAAAAAAGTGTCGTTGATGATATGATGATGTGTCTCGGGCATTGATGATATGATGATGTGTCTCGGGCATTGATGATATGATGATGTGTCTCGGGCATTGATGATATGATGATGTGTCTCGGGCATTGATGATATGATGATGTGTCTCGGGCATTGATGATATGATGTTGCATTTCAGGCGCAAAGTGATGAAGATGATGTCGGGCCAGACGATGTGGCTGTTAATGTGGACGGCAATGTGGGCTACATGGACGACTTCTTCAACGAGGTGAGTACCTTAATATGTACTCAAGTATATATTTACCCTACAGTCCATATTTCCGCACCAGAACCACTAGGCGATGAGTCACAATAACGTGGCTGAAGTATGTTGACCAGACCACACACTAGAAGTTGAAGGGACGACGACGTTTCGGTCCGTCCTGGACCATTCTCAAGTCGATTGTCTTTAATGGCTCTCACAATCGACTTGAGAATGGTCCAGGACGGACCGAAACGTCGTCGTCCCTTCAACTTCTAGTGTGTGGTCTGGTCAACCTCTAGGCTCTCCAGTTGCCTTATCTTGCGATCCATGCCCACCTTGCTTATTATGCCTAACCTTTTTATATTGTGTGTAGAGCTAATCTCAATTACCTCCCCTATCGCCCCCATGCACCTGTTCACTAATCTTACACTGAAGTTATTCCTTACGTGTCTACGACTCGTCAGAGGTCGAGGTTTGCATGCATGTCCTGTCGTGCAGTTCCTATTCCTGCTTAGCTGTGTATTCTAACCACTTTTTCACTGCTTTTAAAACAAATCCACAAGGGGACCTCAGACTGCTTTTAGGATTCTTAAACCTCTGAATCATGTCGCCGATTTGCCTACTGTTCTACTACGACAAGCCCCAACACTAAAGACAATTCAAATATATCAGAAAGCCATAGAGAAGAAAACATCAAAAAATACTTTTCCACACATGGTAAATCGAAATCAAAACCTCCAATGGTGTTGGATCTATACTTACAAGAGAGAAGTCATACACTGAAGATGTCCTCCTAAAAATGAGTGAGATCAGTATAAGATGTTTAACATCACAATTAAAAACATGTAAGTTGAAGATCCAGACAGTTTCTCTGTGAATGATATCCACGACTGAGACAGTTATCCACAAATATCACAAGTACAACAGACTTTGAATGATAAATTGGCAAGATGTCTATCCACTCAGCCCTGGGTCCAGACTTCTGGAATTGGTCAAATGTCTATCCACTCAGCCCTTGGTCCAGACTTCTGGAATTGGTCAAATGTCTATCCACTCAGCCCTGGGTCCAGACTTCTGGAATTCGATATACATAAATTAATATTCCAGTATCGCGCTCTGTGTAGCACAGACAAATGTCTGAACTCTAATAAGATTCCTGAATCACTTAACTCTGTAGATAAATCTCCCTTACACAAGAGGGATGGGAGAGAGGGAGTAGGAAATCATTGGCTAAAACAATAAACCGCTCACATTAACAAGACACAATTAGGTTCTGACTGAATAATTAAGAGTCAAATCTCTAGTTAACCACACAATCTAGGTCCCAGGCGCCGGCGAGAAACAATGGGCAGAGTTTCTTTCACCCTATGCCCCTGTTACCTAGCAGTAAAATAGGTACCTGGGTGTTAGTCAGCTGTCACTGGCTGCTTCCTGGGGGTGGAGGCCTGGTCGAGGACCGGGCCGCGGGGACACTAAAAAGCCCCGAAATCATCTCAAGATAACCTCAAGATAACCAAGGTCATCGTGGATTTAGAACGGGAAGATCCTGCCTCTAACCATTACCCAACCACCGCGACAAAATCACAGATACATTATAAAATAAAATACGGATATTGTATTCATTAACTTGACACAGGCATTTGATAAATATGACCATGGAGCGATAGTCCATAATATGAGATCAATGGGAATAACATTTAAAGTTGGGGGATTCAATTTCTTATTAAACAGAATGAAATGAATGACAGTGAATCAAACAAAGTCCAAGGACATTGACAAATAAAACCCCATCAACCCCTTACGCTCGGGGGTTGAGAGCTATAACGTCTTCCCAGAACCCCAAGGGAAGGGGACTATGAGGAGGAAGCGCCAAGCCAAAGCGACACCCACACACACACACACACACACACTCACTATAATATATATATATATATATATAATATATATATATATATATATATATATATATATATATATATATATATATATATATATATATATATATATATATATATATATATATATATATATATATATATATATATATATATATATATATATATATATATATATATATATATATATATATATATATATATATATATATATAATATACATGGAAGATACTGGGAGATCAGATTCCAAATTTGCACAGATTAGGATATGGTAGAAAATGGAGAATAGAGCAAGTGAAGAATATAGGAGCCGTAGGTAGGATGAGAGAAGACTTGAGTGAACACCAGAGGTCCGCGGCTGTCCTCGTGTCCTCGTCACGAACGTAAGACATATTGCGGGAACAATAGGAGGACGGGTTCAAGAAAATATTGGACACGTTCTGCAGAAAATGCCGGAGGAATGAGGCTGTAGTGGGTGTGTGTGTTCCCCTTGCTCCATCTCATCTTTATCTCCCTCCATTCATCGTCCTCTATTTCCCACCATTTCCCGTATTACTGGCTGTTCCAGACTGGTCGTTAGTGAGATGGTGATACGCGGTATCTGCCTCTCACAAGTCAAGCCTGGCCTCGGGCCGGACTGTGATAAGAACGGTGCCCAGTCGTTCCTCCATGCCCAGGATTCGAACCCGGGTCATTTCGTTTGTGAAGCGAAAAGGTGAGGGAGCTAAATACTACGTCACATTGTGGTGATTGTGGTGTGTGGTACAGGGTGGTGATTGTGGTGTGTGGTACAGGGTGGTGATTGTGGTGTGTGGTACAGGGTGGTGATTGTGGTGTGTGGTACAGGGTGGTGATTGTGGTGTGTGGTACAGGGTGGTGATTGTGGTGTGTGGTACAGGGTGGTGATTGTGGTGTGTGGTACAGGGTGGTGATTGTGGTGTGTGGTACAGGGTGGTGATTGTGGTGTGGTATAATACAAGGTGGTGGTGGATATGGGCCTGGCAGCTGAGTAGACAGCGCTTTGGATTCGTAATCCTGAGGTTCCGTGTTCCGTCTCAGCTGGAGACGGAAACAAATGGGCAGAGTTCCTTTCACCCTGATCCCCCTTGTTCACCTAGCAGTAAACTTCCTAGGGGTGTGTAACAAAAAGGAGGCTTGGTCGAGGACCGGGCCGCGGGGACGCTACGCCCCGAAATCATCTCAAGATAGGGTAGGCAGTCCTGCCAATTAATTGATATACATTTCGCCTTATATCATGAGTGGTGATATACAAAGTGCTTTGAATTCAGAGCACCTCCCTTTGAATTCAGTTCAAAGGGAGGTGGTCTGGAAATATGGGTAAAATGGGTAAGGGGCCGGGTAGGGGGGTAGTGGAGAGGTGGGTATTGGAATTTATGGGTAGGGGATTGCCTCGGTTTAGGGAATAAGGGGCGCGGAAGGAGAGAGAGAGATAAAGGGAGAAGTGAGGTAAAGGGTTCCCCTTTTTTGTGAGGGAAGAGATAAGAGATATGGAAAACGTTTATTGATGTTAATGGAGACGTTTGTTAACTGTTATTGGTAACGTTAATGCTATTTGTGGAAACGTTTCAATGGGGGGGAGATACGGGAACGTTTATACTAGCGTTAATGGGAACGTTTAAGGAGGGAGAGGAGGTATAAAGTTTGGCTCTACCCGTTAACTGTTGTACTCCCCTAATTGTGCTTGCGGGGGTTGAGCTCTGGCTCTTTGGTCAGATTCCAGATGGGTCTGTTGTGTGTGCTTGTGTAGTGTGGCTTGCTGTAAGTGGTCGGGGGGTCGATACCACCGCGTCAGCCCTGATATAGACGAGTGGTCCCGTCTGGTGAGGTCTAGACGGGTCTGTCTGCCTGCCTGCACTCCACCACCACAACCACCACTCTCCACCACCACAACCACCACCACCACTCCACCACAACCACCACCACTCTCCACCACAACCACCACCACTCTCCACCACAACCACAAACCCCCACCAATTCTGCCATTTAAACATGTTTAATCTCCCTTGTATGCTGGTGAAGTGAATGAAATCTTTAGGGACGTCGCCATGAAAGATGGGGTGGGTGAGGGGGGGTCTGTGGCCCCCAAATGTCACTCGACCCCCCTTCTCCTCTCATCCGCTGTGTGTTCTAAGGCATCAGGTTACCGTCTTCAAGGAGCGGGACAAGAGGACGACTACGACTCCAAGGAAACATACTGTGACACGGGGACAGAGGACTGTAAGATTGATTGAGAAATAATTTCTCTGGCACTTTAACGACAAGATGGAGAAGAGGAGGAGTGTGGGAGGGAGAAGGGAAGGAGTGAGGGAGAGTGAGGGAGAAGGGAGGGAGAGAGAAGAGTGAGGGAGGCAAATCACATGCTTCAATATTTAAGCCCTTCAGGAGTGGGCACCGTGAATTTGCTTTAGTTATTGCTGTAGTATGTTTACGACGCTGTTCCGTACTAGTGTTTTGGTGAGGAGCGTAAGGCCATGGAAGTGTAGGTTCCGGAGACCTGGGGGGTCGTTGGGTTGTTTCAAGCGAAGGTTAAACATATGAGTTTGGGAGGATATTAAAGAGGAGCTGCCTCGTATGGTAGCCAAGAAGCCTTCTGTAAGCTCCTCTATCTTTCGTGCTTCAGTAGCGTATCAGGGGCCAGATTCATGAAGCAGTTAGGCAAGCACTTACGAACCTGTCCATCTTTTCTCAATATTTGGCGGCTTTGTTTACAATTATTAAACATCTAATGAGCTCCGAAGCACCAGGAGGCTGTTTATAACGATACCTGGTTACCTGGTTGATGGGGTTCTGGGAGTTCGTCTACTCCCCAAGCCCGGCCCGAGGCCAGGCTCGACTTGTGAGAGTTTGGTCCACCAGGCTGTTGCTTGGAGCGGCCCGCAGGCCCACATACCCACCACAGCCCGGTTGGTCCGGCACTCCTTGGAGGAATAAATCTAGTTTCCTCTTGAAAATGTCCACGGTTGTTCCGGCAATATTTCTTATGCTCGCTGGGAGGACGTTGAACAACCGCGGACCTCTGATGTTTATACAGTGTTCTCTGATTGTGCCTATGGCACCTCTGCTCTTCACTGGTTCTATTCTACATTTTCTTCCATATCGTTCACTCCA